CACACCCACACTCACACCCACACCCACCCACACCCACACTCACACCCACACCCACACCCACACCCATACCCACACACCCACACCCATACCCACACACCCACACCCATCCACACCCAGACTCACACCCACACCCCACTACAATGCAGTATTTCGTTTATTCTGACCAGAACGATATATTCAAAAGTCACTCGACGAATTCTAGAATATTGAATTTATAGGTTTTTTGTTACAAGCTTTTTCATTCGTGATGATCAAAAACATAAGCATCTCTTAAGTGTTGTATACTTACTCATCGTATATTTATTATAAAAAAAAGCCAACTTACTATAATCTTAAGTAAAATTAACAGAGAGGGATAGTGAAGATAATTCAATTGAATCGTACTGTAATCAAACTTGAATTAAATGTGTTTTTTTTATTTGTTTTTGTATACGAAATAATAAGAACATGAGAAAGATACACAAATATAAAATTTATTTTTCTTGGCAAACATGATTAAGCATACATATAGTGATGTTCACATTTGAAACCTTATAGAGTCAATGTTGAATTTTCAATAGAAAAATTGAGACGAAAATCAAAGAACATATAGACAATAAAGAAGTGAGTGAAAAGTAAGCACGATATAAAAAAAAAATAATTGGCATGAAAAATGTTTTAATATCGTTGTTAAAAAGATAATTTTATTCTCGACCGCCAAACAAAGTAAGAATATATAAAAATATATTAATAATATCCATATAAAGCATAAGTGATGCAAAAATATGATCTTCAGCACTTATTTCGTATCGTTTTCCACCTATAATTAATTGTGTATCAACAGCTAAGAACTAATAATAGAAAATAATATCTTTTGATTTCTTAATAATTAAAACTTACGATCGAAAAAAGTACAGCTCCCAAACCAGCATAGATTGTATACAATAACTTCAAGAAAATAAATATTTTTAGAAAGAAAAGAAACACATAGCATAGATATTTTTTTTATATTAAAATACATACTCTTGAATAAGTAAAAATACAAACAATACCAAAAGCTAAAAGTGCCAATGTCATTACCAATAAAACTCCCATACATGATGTAAAATCATATTTTGTTTGAAATGAAAATAATGTAACACCCAAACAAACAAATGCTGTTATACCAACAGCAATTAAAACTGATTCGATTTTATAATATGCTGAAATCATACCCATCTAAAGTTTTTACAAAAAAAAAAATTAGTAAGTAAATAATGTTTAAATAGAATCATACCATATAGCCCATTGATAATGTCTAAAATGCAAAAATTTTATTTTATTTTTTTTATTAATGTAATTTTCTATCTTACTAAAATGGCAAGTAAAATAAGATTAAGTGGAAATTTTCTTGCTGCATTTTTTGAACAAACCAATGCAAAATAAGTAACTATAAAGACAACATATGATGTAAAATAAAGCCATCGACCATCTGGACTTCGTACATATTCACGAATTGCTGGTCTACATTATGTATATCAGATAGTTACTTTCAATATCTTTGATTAGAAAAAAAAACAAAGAACATACATAAAATGAAATAATGCAATAAGACCAAATGTAATTGTTAATTGAATCATAAGAATTGAATAGACCTATTATATATAAAAATTATTAAAATCAATGTTTTTTTTATGGATTTCAATCAATACAAACCTTTCGAATAAATACACGACGAATTCCTTTGTTTTCAAGATCAGTGAAATCTCCCCATTGAATTTCGACTTTTCTGTCATCTGTATAAAAACAAAAATAAAAATTGAACTAAAAGATATTAAGTAAATCGAACAGGTGAAACTGATGATAAATCACTTTTACTATCAAATACTTTTGTGTTCGATATCAATAATCTATATATATAATGTTCAGTTTGTGGGTCTGTCTGTGCCGGGCCAAAGGTTAAAGGTTATAAGGAGAAGGTGCTAAGGGCTACTGGGAACTCATAGGTTCTCAAGGGCTATAAAGGAGATAGGAGATAAGGGATAAAGATATAAGAGTAAAGGGGATAAGAGGCTAAGGCTACAGAGGCATAAGCGATAAAGCTAAAAGAATATAACAAGATAAAGGTATAGCGGATAAGTAGATAAGGCTACGAGGGTGTAAGGCTATAGGGTCTCTCTCTATATATAATGCGAACTGTCTGATTGTCTGTTATCGAATCAAGGCTAAAGGACAGATGTGAAACTTTACAAGAAAAAAGCATCCGTGCAGTATGCACAGGCTCTTGCTAGTAAATATGCTACTGTACACTATCTTATCTAGAGTAAGAAACAATGAGAGAACGACACTTTTTCCAAGACCCACTTAATTCTACAAGAGCTTGTGCTCATTCTATCTATATTTACGAAAAGAAAAATATTCGGTGTCACGAACTTTGCAATATTTTCTTCAAACGAGACGATGTAATACAATCTGTATACTTTTGCACATTGTCTACGTATATTAACATCAAATTTTGTCGGATTCGTATCTGAATTGTACTCTTAATTTTAAAGAAATTTTTCGTATGAGTCTTCAAGTGACTTTGAAGATGCAAGATACTTTTAAACAATTATTTGTATTCAGCTAGTAGCATAATCTACAGGGTTTTTCTAACAATCTTGACAATGATCTTATAATAATCAAGTCATAATTGACTGTTACTTGGAGATTATGTTTCGGTTTTTTTTTGGTCCATGTCGAACCTGGCCAACAGGATGAACTCTATTAAAGAAAAACATAATTATGAGAGTAAATCAGTTTTCAAGAAAATTGACTATGTGTGCATTATACTAAGAACTTTTCTACAATGGTATCTATGTAATCAATATTTAAAATCGTAATAACTAATTCTTTGACTTGGATAAATTAAGTTGAAATTGAAATTAATAAGTAACAAGGATAATACTGCTACTTCTCTATTCAGAAATTTCAGATGGAAATACGAAAAAAGAATGTTCTCTATGGTAGAGTTCTGTGGGAACAACTTTTTTGGTTTCCATTCCCTAAGCCCACATGGGGAAATTTAGAGAAAAAGTCGTTCCTGCAGAACACTACTCTATTGTCAATATGTTATCATTCAATAATTAGAAGTGAAAATGTCAAATGTATTTTATTTTATTGATAAAGGGCAATTTCTATCTTAATATAAAGATGTAAATATAAAGCGTTCGTCAATATTATTGAATGAATAAATATTTATAAAGTATAGCAGCGATTTTCTTTTTTACTTTTAAAGCTTTACAACCTGAAGATACACTTATGTATCCGAAATCTGTTAATAACTTTACCAAAAAAAAAAATTTCAAATATTAAAATAGAACTAACCTTTGACAAAGTCTGGACGCGGTAATACAGGAGGCAGTTGAGATGACATTTTATTTTGATCAAAACTATCATCTGTTAAAGTATATAAATAAAACATGAAAATTATTCAATTGCAAGAGATACCGGCTTGTATTGGACATGGTATGTATCCAGATGGTTGTTGAGTCGGATTAGGAGAATTACTTATATTTCGATCTTTACTCATCGTATTTATTTATTCTAAACAAGAACAGTTTATTTATTATATAAATATTGAACGTTATCAGACCGATGAAATTTCTTATTTAGCAAAACAGCAAAAGTATACTTCCTCTAAATCAACGACACTTTCATCACGTCATCAGTTATATACAAATAGACTATATGTAAAGAGAAACGAAAATAATAATGAATCATGAGGAAGAGACAGGAACACTCGGTAGTGCTCAAAGACACCTAGTGGATTGGTGTACTCACAATATTTTTACATATAAATATCACAAATTGATAGAAGATGTATCGAGTTAGGTGTCTTGGAAAGAAAAGTTTCTGAACAACTGAAAAATAAAAAATTTATGACAATTTTATCAAAACCCAGTGGTTCTCTCTACACATTTGTTTCTTCATACCTGCCCCTCTTATTATATTGGCTTAACTGTTTTAATCAATAAGCGCAACAGAACGAAAGGTGGCGTGCATATCTACATCGATGCGAATGTTTATATTGTCCTTCATCCTCACTTTTTTCATCTTTGTATTCTTTGGGCTATATATCTTGCTCAAGATCTAAATAATTAAATCTCTTCGTGGAACCGAGTAAGATCTATAATAAACGAATAATTTTGATAAAGTATATTTCAACAAAAGATTTTACGAAAACGTTTGACTATTTGGGTTTTGAATAATAAATATAATCTAAACAATGACACTTTATTAGTACTATAACTGATAAAAAATTCTGTTTTTCTGACATATCATAGAAGTTACAGGATAAGAAACAAAGAATTGAGGCTTTTGGCCAGAATGGACATACCGATATATATACAGTGAGTACCAAAATTTGTTCAACAAGATTTATTTTCAATTATTTTCTGCAACCTTAGAATTCAAATTGTTTCTAATAAGAATATGAGCTAATAAAAATTATTATAAGATTTCTAACGATAGATTCTTCAGAAAACCAAAACTGGTAGCTGTGGGTGTGGGTAGATGATGAAGAGAAGACCCACACTCAGCTGTTCGCTTATTGTCAGATATTAATTTATCAAGTTTAATATATCTTTATCGATACGTATTAAATTGATCGGACCGTTCTTCTCTTAATTATTTCTAGACAACACAGGAATTCTTGAGCTCGTGTAATATACAATGAATATCATGTTTTCGAGTCGCCTCACAAAATAAGAATCATGAGTAACCTTGAAAAAATTTCTATTTTGGAAATAACACATTGATCTATTTGAGATTTTATCTTGATTTAATATTGATTTTCATTAAAAAAAACATTCATAAAATCGAGGATGATTTTATAATTTTTGAGTATTTCATTTAGGTTTTTTTTTATTATTATTTTAAACGAAGGGCTATCAATTGAAATTGGTTTCAGATTTAGTAAACTGGAAGAGATATTTGGAAATCTTGGTGTCATTTTAATTGAATATTTCTATTATTTAATTTAATCAAAAATCTGTTTTTCAATATTATCTTTGATCCCAAAGCCCATCATTTTCATTTCCCTTCATAATCTTTACGAGAATCTCAAATTTAGAAGACATTTCTTTAATTTCTGTTTCTAATAACTGTAGACATTCTCACCTAATTCAATTTATATTAGGATGTAGAATGCGGGTGCGAGTCTGTGTGTGAGACACGAGAGAAATTAGATCGACGACCATACTCACACCCATCCGCACATTCACATTGACACCCAATCAGTTGATTTCATATTCGCTGATACTACAGACTACGTAGAGGAAAGTGATATGAATTTTCTTGATACGATGATGAAGATGCGAGTGATTACATTCGCGTATGTGTTCTAACTTGCTACATATCTCTTTATTACTTTTTATAATCACAAAAAGCAAATATTTAATAAGATAATTTCTATTTTTAATTAGTTTCACTGCTGTTACTCTTTAGAATAAATGCATGTTATTCTGCTCGATCTGGCAATATACTTAGGTCAGTCCAAAAGTAGTGGCGAAGGTATCGTAATTCCTTATAGAAAGCTCTAATTTTTTTTAATGCTATTTGATCATATTTAAACTACTAGCATAATCGTAAACTTGCAATAACATTCATTTTGTTAGAATATGCGCTGAGGGTGTGGGTGTGGGTGTGAGTGTGAGTGTGGGAGTTGATATTTCCATCATTCACACCCACACCCGCAGTCGCACCCACACCCACATCCACACACCCACACACCCACACCCACACCCACACCCACACCCCACCCCACCCTGAAGAAGCATATGTTGACCAAGAGGAAATTCTTGAACCTCTTAATTCAACAATATAACTACATGATTGTGCATGACTATATGATTGTGAATGATCCCAACTTAAATTCAAACTTTATTTTATATGCGGTGTTACGAATAATCATGCTGTTACTAAGGTATTTTTTATTCTTTTCATTGTCTGTAGACTTAGTATAATCAACTGTAAGAGTTCATTATTGGATACAGAACTTCAACGAACGTTCGTATACGATGCATGTCTATTGTGGAGACATTTGTTCAGCTATCCTTATTCGCTACTTGCTCATCAATGAATTTATGTTCACTTTCAAATCATTTTATCATGTAGTAAATAAGATTGTATCCTAACACAGACTGCAAATCTCTACGCAATACTAGTTTGTGAAACTTACATTCAACAGTTAACACTGCTGAACATTGTGTTAAGTCAGCACGATTTTCTACAATAATTATTATTTCACCAGCAGCTTCTTGTGACCAATCTTCAATAGTTAATGTTACTTTATCATTTGATAATAATTGTAATGAATATTTTCTTTTATTAAATACAATATCTAATGATACACAATTATATAACCAACGTATTGTTGGATTTGGTTGACCAGTTATGAAACAATGACATTTAGTACGTTCTCCTTCAATCACTATAAAATATCGGAGTGTACACATAAAAGATGGTGTAATTTCTTCAGTTCTATTAAAAACCTCTTTTTATATATAAAAACACAAAAAGAAAATGTTAAACATACGGTTTTAGTTTAAATCACAGTCTTTTCAATAAGATATACATCAGCTGAATATGCTTTTTCTCCAACTGAATTTTCCGTAGCTTCCCAAAAGCGCCCAAAAATTAAGCCAATTAGTATAAAAATGGGCGCTTTTTGGAATGAAGGAAATTACATTGGTCTCATTTTTATTGCGTTCCCAAAAGTGCCCACTTTTTGAGTAATGAGTAATCAACAATCGTGATATGAAATATAAATTTTATTGATAACACAACAATATAAACAATAACCTAGTCTTCGTCGCTACTATCTTTAGCATCTTTTATAACGTATATATATCGATAAGAAATTGCTCGTAAGATTTTTTGATAAGATTTTTTTAATTTTTGGCAAGTCAACATAATGATCATAAATTTGTTTTTTTATTAAATGAATTTTTATTTTTTGTTCTTTTTTTTTTAATTCTTTTCAATTTATGAATAAATATAAGATAAACAGAGGAAAAAAAATTCTATATTTATATATATATATTATCAATAACACTCAACTCTAGACTAATTTTTGCAACGACTAATTAATCAAAGAGTGTCCAGTGAAAAATATTTTGAAAAAAAACGGAACAGAATGGTTTCATAAAAATATGGAAACCTTTTTTTCTATGTAAAGAATGCGTTCCTTTTGCTAGTGAATGCGTTCATGTTCAAGAAGAAACACTCTCAGTCTGAAGGAACTCGTTCTCTGCCGTTCCACAATAAGACGGAATGCTTTCTTTTCTATTGAGAAATTGTTCTCTATTTGAAGGGAACGCATTCCGAACCATTCTTAAACCAATAGAATCCATCCTAGTTCATTCTCTTTCGGAACGGCACAGATAGCAATCCATCGAAATAAGATCGCTTTCTTTTACGTTTTCTAGAGAAGCATTAAAAGAATGAATTCTTCTAAGTGATGAATACTTTCTTTTGAAATTAAAGCACATTTCGATTCAAAAATCAAAGATCTGAAGCAAAGCAGATTGAAACTGATATGAGAAATGGTGGAACCTTCAGCTAGTTATTCTTTGGGGATGCTACTTCTGATTTAGAAAAAGCATGATTTTAATAACGGTTTGAGTTACAACGATTTGGAGCACGCCATTCGATCGAGCTCGTCGAGTTACCCCGGAAATGGTCTTTTGACGAATTAAAGATTTATCCATTAATGATTAGCCGTATGATCAAGAAAGTTACCTTCTCTCAAGAAGAGAAAGCATTTCAAAAGTGGTGGAAAGCGTTCCAAAAGTGATAGAATGCGTTCTAGACCGTTCCATTTTGGATTGCTTTCCATTTTTTTCGGAACGTTTTCTTTTCTTAAAAAAAGGGCTTTCAATTTTTTGGAACGCATTCTCAACCGTTATTTTTTACAAATATTTTTCACTGGGTGGGCGTTTTTGGGGACGAAATGAAAATGAAATCAATGTAATTTCCTTCATTCCAAAAAGCGCCTATTTTTATACTAATTGGCTTAATTTTTGGATGCTTTTGGTACATAGCAGAATTTTCAGCTTGACATGTATATTCATATTCATCATTATCATTAATATGTAATACAACTAATAGATAAGTATTTTTATTTGGAGTAACACGATATTTTTCATTATTTTATGCTACTAATAACTCGATGAAGAAAACATCAAAATAAATATTGCAATTTTCTTATAAGTACTATATCATGTTATTTCTGGTACTGTTTGATCAGTTATAATTGTTTAAAAATTACTTTGTTGTTATTCATATACTGTATATATATGTACATAAGATATTGGTTTATTAAATTTATTCGAAAACAAGTATTGATTTGATAAAATTTCAAAACAAAAAAAAAACTTTTATTTCTAATTTTGTATCAAATGTTCAGCATTCATTTTTCATTGATTAGCTAAAGGTAAACATTGACAAAATGATACTACACATGATATTAATACTTCATCATATTGATTTCTCAAGCGTAATCTATATACATCATCATCTTCAAGATAAATCTCTTTCATATTTAATTATGCTAATTCATTTTGGCTTAAATCAGTTGTTATAAGAACATTTGAACATAAGAGAATACCATAAAAAACCACGTTGCTTTAGCATCTTCACCTTGAAATAGACATTCATTATTTCCATAAAAGAATATTATCATACCTTCAACAGATACTTGTCAACTACTTTCTTATTCATCAGTAATATCAATAAAAATTAAATAATCGTCCAGATTGAATTCTCTATGGAATAAAGAGACTGTATCTTAAACCTTCATTTCTTATTTGTGATTTATCACCCATTAGTATTCTATATTTTAATCATATAAGATGAACATTAGATTTGGATAATGGACACATGATAATTCTAATGGTTGATTACCATTTATTTAAGGATCAGACTCGACTAAACTGTATGTTGATATTCTCACTAAAATGTTCTAATCGATATTGATAATTTATCTCAGAGATACGAGATACCTTATTTTTGAGCAGAACTATCTCCCGTTCTCTTGCATTTCTGATGGCTTTGGAAATACCTCGAAGTATGACTGTTAGCTTTTCTGATATGAGTTACCATGCTCTGCATTCACTGTAATACCTACGAATTATCAATTGGTTTTCTTTTTAAGAAAAAAAGCTTACTTTTGACAGTTAATATTTCATCAGCATGTTGGTTATCAATCATGCAAAGATAATTTCCGTGATTTTCAATTTTGTACATTATAAATAATTCATGTTAAAAGATCGGTTCTTTTTAACTAATTTTTAAAAAAATCAAGCTGTGATAGTTTTTTTTTCGAAAGAAAGATAAAACCAAAACTATAAACATATTCCTCTAGTGGTTTTGTAAATGCAATAGGCATGGCTAAACATGTTGGAAAGAAAAGTAGATACACATATTTGAATTTATCTTTAACATTCATGTTGCACTGGTTTTATCATTACCATCAGCTATACAGTTATATTTTCCATCTTCATTTCAAGTAACGTTATATGTCTAGTTAATGTATGTAAAGATCCTTTAGTTGAATACCCAATTAATCATCTGAAAGTAAAGTTTTTTTAATATTAAAGAGGGTATGGGTGTTGGTGTGTCCATTCTCTTGAAAGTTCACATCCACATCCATACCCACCTTTTTGTTTAAAAATAAATGTGTCATCATTCTCCTCGTCGCTATCTATCTTCTGCTTCAATGCAAATAAGACTCATTCTTTCGCTTCTTTAGATTTCTACAATTTATAAGTAACTTTTTATCTTGGGTGATAGTCAAATTTTGCAAATACCTCGTGTGAAATAGAACAAGAAAAACTATGTGCGCAAAACAATATTCACAAATACAACAAGAACCACCACCATATCAAAATAATATGGATGCTAATCAACAACCACTGAATTATTACCGGCCAGCTGACGAGCGTATTGTTGATTTTCAACAACTTGTTGCTCGTTATGAAAGTGAGTTTAATAAGTTTTTAAAAAAATGTGTGTTTTTCTCATTATTATTTAGTCAACCATACATTTGCGACAAAATTACGTGTTCTTGAAGGCTATGAAATAGTATTTATATGTGACGATTCAGGTTCGATGAATACTCCACTTGGTAATTTAATTTGAAACATCTAATATATTTACTCAATTAAATTATCGTTTATTATTTTAGGCGATCTTTCTGGTCCACATGATAAAAAGCTATCTCGATGTATGATTAAATAGATCAATATTTGAATATTAATTTTTATAATTATAGGGGATGAATTAAAACAAACCGTATCAATTGTTGTTGATCTAGCTAGTGTTTTTGATCCAGATGGTGTTGATATTTATTTTCTTAATCGTGAACCTGTATTTCATGTTCGTAATTCAGAACAATTGGTACCTGTCTTTGCCGTTCCACCATCTGGTATGTTCAATAGAAATAGTTGAATGCTGTTGTTGTTTTCTTGTTTAATGAATTCTTCTTTTTTTATTTTTTATTTTAATAAGGTCCAACTCCAATTGTTTCAGTTTTTCGACGTGTACTTCGTGATAAACAACATGAAATAGAAGAACGTAAATTACTAATACTTTTAGCAACTGATGGTGTACCAACAGATGATAAAGGTAATCGAGATATTCGTTCATTGAAACATGTTCTTAAACAAGAACGTAAACCAACAAATCGTATTCCTGTAACAATTATTGCTTGTACAGGTACAAGATAAATTAAAATTGATGATTGAATTTGATAGAGTTGTTTTGTTTTGATTTTTTAAAATTTCTTTACAATAGACGACGACGACTGTATTAAATATTTAAATAATTGGGACAGGAAGATTCCTAATCTTGATGTTGTTGATGATTATAGAAATGAAAAAAAAGAAATTCAAGCACGTCAAGGAAAAGATTTTCCATTTAGTTTTGGTGATGTAAGCCATTTTATATTATTTTCATAAATAAATTTGTTTTTTCATTTTTTTTTATTGAACATTTATTTTTATTAAGTATGTGGTTAAAATACTAATGGGTGGTGTTGATAGTTGGTTTGATGATTTAGATGAAAAAAAGGTTTCAACTGATGGTTATGGACGACCGAATAAAGATTATGGTCGTAAACGAAAAAAACGACTATGTGCTATTTTATAGCAAAGTGTTTTATAAATAATTCTTCATAATGTATAAATCATAATAATTTTTTTTTAAGAGAAATATTTTTCATAAAATTATTGAATAAAATTGATTATTTGAGATAGTGTTTTTCAATATGAAGTCCCACATTTTTTTTGTTCTTTCAATCAAATTCTGTTTATGACAATTTATTGATTGAATAATTTGAATATATATAATTCTATGACTTTTCATTATAGATTTATCTATCATTTGGTGACCATTATTTTGATAATCATGTTCTTTTATTTATTAATGAATTAAAATTCTTAAACAACATCTTATT